AAGGTATCGTTTGAACTTTGTGACTTGTTTACATGGTCATTTGGATGGACTGGCGTTTTTGAGCCCAACTCACCACCCATTAGTTCGATTGCGCGATTGCTAATTACCTATAAACAATTCATTCGTGCAATTGGGTTAATTATTTATTTCATGTAGACATGTAAAGATTCCTCGCACTCACCTCATTGCAATTCATATTGGTTTGAGTACCAGAGCCAGTTTGCCAAATAACCAATGGAAAATGATCATCGTACAAAGAGCCAGATATAACATCGTCACATGCTTTCGAAATTGCATCGGCAACCGACGCATCCAAACCGAATTCCTTGTTCACTTCGGCTGCAGCTTTTTTCAGCACACCCATTGCAACGATAACAGGCTTTGGCATACGTTCACGATCACCACCAACAGGGAAATTTATCTTGGAGCGCATGGTTTGGGCGCCATAATACTTGTCAGCTGGCACTTTTAGCTCACCAAACGTATCACTTTCCGTACGAAATTCACCAGACTATATTTAATAAATGACAAACAAACAAAAATATCTCTATCAGCATCTCGGCAAAAAAAAACAGATACTTTTAATTCTGGAATTATTTGGAATATACTTGAAATTCATGTACATATGAAAAACATTAAACCCGTATTATTCTACTATTGTTGAATGAATAAAGTAAAAAAAAATGAGCACAAAAAATAAAAATGTTTGCCAATTCACTAACCATTTTGTATAAGCCTACGGTTTTGTCAACTATGTTAAAGCACAAGATGCTGAACAGGCCGTAAATGTATTGAATGGACTACGATTACAAAATAAAACAATTAAAGTATCATTTGCACGACCAAGTTCGGATGCGATTAAAGGCGCTAATTTATACATTTCGGGTTTGCCAAAAACAATGACACAACAAGACTTGGAAACAATTTTTGCACCATTCGGTACGATAATTACATCACGTATTTTACAAAATGCTGGCAACGATACACAAACAAAAGGTGTTGGTTTCATTCGATATGATACACGTGATGAAGCAAAACGTGCCATACAAGCCATCAATGGAACCACACCGCCTGGATGCACCGAACCAATTTCCGTAAAATTCTCCAACACACCCGGTTCAAATGCAAATAAAGTGCTTCAGGCACCAGTACCATCATTTTTGGCACCACACCTAGCGCGACGCATCGGCGGCGCGATGCACAATCCAGTGAACAAAGGTTTGGCACGTTTTTCACCAATGGCTGGTGAAATGCTAACCGATGTCATGATTCCCGGCGCAAATGGAATAACCAGTTTAGCACCAGGTGGCGGTTGGAGCATTTTTATTTATAATTTGGCACCAGAAACCGAAGAAAGTACATTATGGCAGTTGTTCGGTCCATTTGGTGCTGTTCAAAGTGTTAAAATAATCAAAGATTCGGCAACAAATCAGTGCAAAGGCTATGGTTTTGTCACAATGACCAACTATGAAGACGCAATGATGGCGATACGTGCACTCAATGGATACGCTTTGGGCAATCGTGTACTTCAAGTCAGTTTCAAAACAAATAAACAAAAGTAAAATCGATCTTTTTTTCAAGAATGTTTTCTAAATAAAAAAAAATCGATTGATTTGTATTTGTTACATTTGCAAACTACCATTTAAACTAAAAAAAAAAGAAAATCCTATTTCGTATTGATACGAAACAAACGCTAGAAATGAAATAGAATCGATTCTCACATTTTTCATTGCTATTTGTGTACCGTGCTAGATAAAAAAAAAGATTTTACTAAGAAAAAAAAACGTTAAAATAGAACCAAATGAAAAAGAAAATCCACAATTCATTTCCACATAAAAAAAATGGAAGAGAATGAATCCAACATAAAAAAAAAAAAATTTAACAGATTGTAGAATTGAAGCAGCAAAACAGGGCTTTTTATTAAATTTAACGAATAATTTAATAAAGCAACATTGACAATTTAACTTTGGGATATAATTCCCATCAAACGAATACATTTGTTTCCATCGATAAATATATATATATATATATATTTAACAAAAATGTATGTCGAAAGGGTACGAATGTTGAACCTGATAATCAGTAGATGAAAGAAAGCACAGGCAAGAAATAAGAACACCCATTAAAACACATATTACTACACACAAACACACATACACCAAAAGGATAATTCGGCGCCATAGCACCGAAATAACGTAAATATAAGGAAGAATAGAGAACAGACATCATACAAATACTCCTTAGCCAATTGTGATTAAACCAAAAAGCTAAAACGCAATTTTTTACCACATAAATATAAAAAAAAATAAACTATTTTATAGAATAATTTTCCAGTTTAGTAGACACATTTTCAAATGAAATGAAAACGATAAAAAAATGAAGAAAATTGATTTTTTTTCATGAATTCTCCACTCCTTTTTGCCCTCCCCCCCTCAATACTAATACTAATTCAAACTTTTTCTCTCATTACGGCATACGACCGCACATCTGAACTGCACATTGTTATTTCGCGCAAATTATCTTTGCTTTATAAATTCTAACTGTTTATTGAATAGAAAATCAGAGACGACGAAAAGAGAAATCCATTTTCTCAAATCCAACGAAGCAGTTCATCATCCCAACGATACGGCACCGACCAACATAAAAGAAAACAAATATGCTAAAAACGATATGAAGAAAAGTGCAATATTCATTACATTTTTATTAGAAAAAAGAGTTATATTATTGTGTGCAAATGCATTTTTTGTAATCTAAATGTGTCGTATGCAATGTAATTCGAGAGAAAGATAAAATCCATTTTAATATTGATTATTGATACCGTGAATTTACATTTAATCCAATTCTTTTCATTTTTCATATTTGTATTTGGATAGTCGATTGAAAAATGCTTTCGATTTGACACGGTACCTCCAAATAAATACTCATAAATAGCCGTTATGTGTTGCGCAATATAATGTGAGAGAGTGTGTAATGGAGACAAATGAAAAATATGGAGAAGATGTATGGAAGCTACAATTTTGAAGCAAATGCAACGAGCAGGGCAGATACGCACAACCCAAAATGAAAGTTATGAAAAGAGAGAGAAAGAAAAATCCATCGACAAGAATAAATGTTTCAATAGCAATATCTTATCTGTTTTGCGAATGCAATTTTTATTTTCTCCCAAAATATTTACGTATCGATGCTCTTTTTCTTTTTCAATCAAGAAACCGCTACGCGTTCATATGGTTCCATCGATTTTATGTTGGATTTTTTTTTTGTTTTTGTTGTGTACATTTTGGTATCTGTCTCCACCGATTCGATAAAATATTAAACGAATGTTCTTTTTTTGGTCTTCAAATCAATTTTGATTCGAAGTGAATGTGCAAAATCGATTTTTTTCATTTCATCGATGCAAGGCATTTTTTTTATTTGCACCAACATCATGTTATTAGAAAGCAAAAATCTTTGAAAAATGCAAGAAATGATTAACAAAAAAGTAAACTAATATTTATGAAGTTCTAGTCAAAAAAAAAAACAACAACAACAAAACCCTAATTAAGAAGACCATATTTTCATTTCGGTCTCGATTTTAACGTTGAACTACATTAAAATCGACTCAAAGAAATTGAATAAAAAAAAAGAAAGAAAAAATACAATACATGAGAATCTATTTATGCATCATTTTAAATGTAGAAAAAAAAACTTAGCTGATTAATTTCAAGAATTCATCTAATTTATTTACATCTATGGAATATAAGCGTAGAATTATTATTATTTCTCTTTTTTCTTTTTTTGGGTTTTAGTAATTGTGAAAGGGCATTGAGCATTTGCGATTTTATTTTCAATTTCGTCTCAAATTCGTTAAAAGATTTTCTTTTTTCAATAAATTGAACAAATCAAATAAATAGACTTTAAAAGAAAACATTTTATTTAAATAGGTTCGAGCACAGAACTGTCATCCACGGTCTAATAAATAAACACGGTGCGACGTAAAGCTGCTTAGCAAAAGGATACTAATTAATTTAATGGGAAAAGAAGAATTATTT